TTGTCAATATCATTATAATCTAATCATATCATAATGCTAGTGTAATGCTAATCTAATCCAAATACATTAATACTAATGTCAATCCTAATATGCTATTATTAACATTAATCCTAATACGCTAATGCTAATATATTAATGCTAATTCTACTTCTACTTCTAATGCTAATGGTAATTCTAACCCTAACACTAATGCTAATGCTAATCATAACCAAAATTACAATCCTAATATTAATTCTAATCATAATTATAATCATAATCTTAATCCTAATCATAATTATAGTCCTAATCGTAATGCTAATCTTAATTTTAATGCTAATTTCATTCATAATAATAATACTAATCATAGTTCTTATCCTAAAAATACACATATGCTAATGCTAACGCTAATCTTAATACTAATTATATTATGCTAATGTTAATGCTAATCCTAATCCGAATCCTAATTCTAATTATGATGCTAATATTAATACTAATTCTACTAATTCTAGTCATAATGCTAATCATAATACTAATATTCATACTAATAGTAAAATCCTAATGTACCTAATGCTAATGTTAATCCTAATGCTAACATTAATACTAATACTAATATTAATACTTATATGATAATGCTAATTCTAATTCTAATTCTAATTTTAATATGCTAATGCTAATATGCGGCTTAATCCCACTTTGCACCCTTGAAATATGCCATTTTGGCACTTTGCACCCTTGAAATATGCCATTTTGGCACTTTGCATTGCACCCTCGAAATAAATGAATAGTACTTTGCACCCTCGAAACATAATAAATCATGCATAATGCATCCCAAATGAATGTTTAAAGCTAATAAATGTAATTTAATATTTTTAGTGGTAGTTTTTAGGATGACAAATGTCAAATAATTTTTTTTATTCATCAATCATTTTGAAACTATAAAGTGCATAAATAAAAATACATCTCATCAACTTATTTAATAATTATATTTTTTATCCCAATAAAATATTTTACAAAAAAAAAAAAAAAAGAATCCTTCATCTATTCCGTTATCAAGTTATCTGAAAATCATATTTTTTTTCCAAATATTTTTACTTCATATTTCCACCAGTTACAATAAAAAAATCCATCAATCGAATAATTTAGTGATAAAATTTTATTTTAGTT